ATCTTCTATCTTGTATCTTGACGGCCCATCAGTCCGGCCCACATCAATAGACCAAACACCCGAGGACCCCCTAATCCAGGACAACCATAGTGGCACCGACTGCGTGAACTCGGTGAGATCGATTTTAGCAAAGAGCAAACAAAGAGTTGGTTAAGCAAATTTGGTGTGTTCGATCGCTCATTTCGGTTAGACCGAAATGTTACAAAAGGGAAACAGGGAGTTTGGAGGGCCATCTCAGTGAGACCGAGATCCGTATCGATGTGACTGAGGTGTTAGGGTTTCTGGTAGTGGCTAAGTCAAATGAACTCAGTGGCGCCAGATAGAAGATTTCGGTGGGGCTGAGTTTGACTTTGGGTTTTGGACAAATTTGGAAATGAGAAAGTGGTTGAGTGCTTTGGAGCAATATCACTAGGCATTTTGAGCAAGTAGACCATTAAGCAACACCTCATCCTCTTTTAGTAGTATTGGATTTCCTATGGACTCAATGTGATCTTGGATCACTAAAATATAAATGAAGAGTCTTGAGCTTTTGCCAATATGTGTCCTTTGCATTTTGAGGGGTCCGCATCTTTAGTCCATGCCATGCCATTCATTGAACTTTCTGAAATATTAAACTTGAATGGATATTAGTTCAATGAGCTATATGTTGTTATGAGTTGCCAAAACCATCAGGGGGATTAGTTGCACTTTCAAGCACCCAAAAATTGTTTCTCCACAAACCATCTTCCTACTTGATCAAGTTTGGCATGATAAACAAATGGCGCCAAGGGTTCAAACATTTGCTTCGAGGCTCCTCGGGAAAGCACTCTCGACGAGAAAGAGGGCAAGCATGTATTCCAAACATATCAAATAATGTTGCTCTAGATGTGGTAATAAAGAAGATTAAATGCATATGTTTTTCTTATGTCCTTTTTCTAAAGCGACATGGTTTTGTTTTTCCTGGTCCATTCGAACTGAATTCTTTGCTGCTCAATAAAGCTTCCTTACTGATATGATTCATGTCTTACTCACATGCATATGGACATCCACCAATAAAACCGCTACTCTTTGTACCTTTTTGTGGTGTCTATAGAAGCCTCGAAATGACACTCTGTTTTGCAGGAAAGTTAGCACACCTTCACAGGTTTTTGAAGAAGCTAATGCCATTATCAATGAAACTAAGTCAGAGGTCTCTAGCTCCACTGAACAACACGATAGAGTGCAATTGACCAACATTCAGGTACCTAAACACATGCTAACATACTGCAGGGAATGCGATCTTCTGTTATGCCACATGGGAGAAGCAATAAGATTCAAGGAAAAGTCAAGCAGGATTAGGCGTAGTCATCCAATTTCAAGGGAATCAACATCTTCAACATTTGTATATCTCGGTGCTCTCACTCCAGCATCTTCACCACTCCAGGCAGAGACTTATGAGCTTTTTCTAGCAATCAAGCTAACCGATATTTTACAGGTTCAACAACCACACTTCTATACGGATTGCTTGGTGTTGGCTTCGGCAGCTGCAGCGAGGACGATGTTTCAAGCTCCTAGACATTGAGAGAACAGATCGTAACTGGCAACAATAAATGCTTCTTCCTCCTTCCATCATAGTAACATCAGTCCTTGAAATTTCAAAGCTCATCACCAAGCTCGTTTAGCACTGAGAATACAGTCTACCTCTTTAGCTATGCAGTGCTTAAGGCCAACTCCAGCGCACGACCCCAAACAGACGTCTGTTTTGCTCGGATTCTATCCGTTTGGGTAGGGTAATGGGGTCATGTCCGGGCAGTTTCTGGGATGCGGTGGCCGTGCGCCCAACACACAGCTGCATCCTGTCCGCATCATTTTTGAAAGGCCAATATATGAAAGCACACCCAAGTTCAGGCCAACAACCCCAGTTCACGCCGGCAACACAGCCAGCAGCCACTACACATCCTCGCCGGCACAGCCAGCGGCCACTACACGTCCTCGCCGGCACAGCCAGCGGCCACTACACGTCCTCGCCGGCAACACAGCCAGCGGCCGGCAATAGAGCCAGCCTTCAAAATGAATAGTTTTGTCGCCGGCAACAAAGCCAGCGGCCGGCAACACAGCCAGCCCTCAAAATGAGGTTTCTCGCCGGCACATAGCCAGCGGCCGGCACCCATGCCAGCCTCCAAAAGAATGGCCATGGCCGAACAGACGACCTAGTTCAGGTCATCGGCGTCGAACATCTCCTTCTGTCTGGCCTCGAATCAGCTCCTCGTCTTCTCGCTCATCTTGCTCAAGTCCACACTCATGATCGCTAGGGCCACCTCCTTTGCTTTGGTTGCGGCGTTGGTGGCCTCGATGTTGAGCTACCTCTGCCTGGACATGACGTTGGCGGCCTCGATGTCGAGCTGCCTTTGCCGGGACGCCTCCTCCATGTCGATCTTCCTCTTCTTGGCCGCCTCCTTCATCTCAAGCTTCTTCCTTTGAAGCTCTAGGTATCTTCATTTACTCGTCCTTGCTTTGTCGCTTTTTCTCGTCCCTCACATCCTTTTGAGACATCATGTCATGCAAAGTCTCATGAAAGGCCATGGATGACGCTTCACGTATGTCGTCCACCTTGGAGTTGGTCTTGCCCCTCGTCCTCTTTAATGCCTCACCATCTCCACCTTCGGCAAACGCGACCGCCTTCTTGCCTCTCTTCCTTTGAAGTTCATGGTATCGATCTTTGAAGTTTGGGAAATTGTTGATGAGCGTCCAACAATGCGTAAGAGTGAATGGCTTGTCATTGTGTCGGGCCTTGAATGCTTCCAAAGATTGAAATGCCTACACCACATGATCAATAACAAATGAACATGCAAACATATACAAGGCCGAAGTCTCACGGCCGTAGCAACGACGGGACTAGGATGAGGAGAGCATACCAAGTCCCGAATGCTGAGACCACTCACGGGCCATGCTTCAATGCTCTCTAGTGCAGCGCAATACTTGTTGCAATCTTCTTGGATGAACAACCACCTCTCTTGAATCGAGGTGATGCCACGATTGCTCGTAATTTGGTAGGGCTCAAACATCTTTCTTTCATGGAATGTTTTGTGGACTCTCGTCCAAAAAAGAAGGCCTTTTTTTGCGTGCCGGTCCTTAGATCTTGGCTAATCTCCATCCAACATTGGCAAATCAACTTGTCCTCGTCTTGTGAATATGAACCCGTGCGAATGCTCTTCTTCCTCTTTTGTGCTTCCGCTCTTTGGGTGAGCTCGTCGATGAACAATGGCTCGCCCGAAATATCAATATCAATGCCATCGTCTTCATCACCATCACCTTCGGAATAGATGTCATCGTCTTCATACCACGAGTCATCATGGCCGTAGTTCGCATGGTCGTGGGCCTCTTCATCCGCAACGTATTGGGCGCGGCCATCCTGACTTTGGGTCTCGTCGGGATCGTAGGCACCGCCATGCCCACCCTCGTAGATCACATGCTCCATGAACTGGTTGTAGAAGGGGTCGTCGACCGTTGACGCTGGTGTTGCCATTTCATCGAACAGGACGCGGGGGGACTGCATGGTGCCCGTAAACAGTGGTTGTGCTTGCTTTCTTTGCATCTCGACGGCCGGCCGGCCGCCGTCGCTGGACCCTGGCGTGACGTTGAGGTCGATGAAGGCCGAGGGGCGCGGGGTGGACGGCACGATCACGCCAACGTCCGGCGAGCCCGAAAAACGGGTTTGGCCATCGTGCCTTGGCGGGGGAAAGCCGGGCAACATAGGCGTGGTCCGCGACGTCGGCGACGCACAGTGTTGAGGCCTGGCGACCGATGAGCCTATGCTCGCCGGGCTGACGGCCGCACCAGAGAAACCCGTCGGACGACAAAGGCCAAGCATTAGGAGGGCGTGCCCTTTGTTGATGATGGCCTCCTTCTCGTCGACCTCGGCCTTGCGCCGCGAGGCCTCCACTGCATTGCACTCGGCGGCGAACTTGGCCGCGACGGTCTTGCCCTTGACGGCCGCCCTCCGGTTCCTCCTCTTGGCCGATTCCGCGTCCATCTTAGCGAGCTCCTCTAGCGTGCATTCCGGCCGCGGCTTCCTTGGACCCTTGGCTACCTTCTTCTTCACCTTTCCAGGCAGGTCGACGGCTAGGCCGCTGGAATTCGGCGGGGCGTCGGCCATGGACGAGGGAGGGTGGGGGCGGGACGTGGGAGGATTTGGGGGGAAATGGCGCCAAATGGGGCGCGGGGGGTTTTGCTTTGTGCCACCGACGTGCGGGCCAGGGGAGGACACGCGCGCGCGTCCCGCCCGTTCGCGCGCTGTCCGTTTCACTCCAAAAGCGACGCAAACTTGGGTCGGGGATGGGTCGAAAGCGGAAACGGACAAACGCTCGTTTGCGCCCGCGCGTTGGGCTGTCTGATTTGTTCGTTTTGCCCCAAACGGACGCACCCGGATAGGATGTGGTCGCGCGCTGGAGTTGGCCTAAGTACTGAAGCAGGGCAATGTCCTAGCAAGGACATACTCTCTGTATCAATCTTGATGCCTTTCATGCCCCTCTTTGTAAAATGCTCCTATTGAATAAAATCTTTATTTTTTTAAAAAAAAGAGAGCTTATGCCAATGTGATATTTTTCTTACTAGGATATATGTGATCCTTTTTCCTTAAAACCGATGATTTAGTGTAATGGCTGCTTCAATTATTGCGGATGTGTTTAGTTAGTGACAAAAGAGGAAAGAAAAAGCTAGACTCAGCATCGAGAGCTCACGCGGAAAGCAGCCCTGTGGTGCGCACACCACACCACACACACTGGCAAAAAGCACGGAGCCTGGCCTGAGCCTCCGCCTCCGCCATAGGCAGTCGCAGTCTCACACAACCCTCCCGCTTCCATCGTTTCCCCACGTCTCGCCTCGCCTCCAGAGCTTTCCCCCTTCCTCTTTCCCTTTCCACCTCCCCCGAACCCTTCGACCCCGAGAGCCTAAAAAATTCGAGCCAACAACAACAGAGAGAGACTGCGACAGCCCCCCGGCGCCGGCCGCCGGGTCCTCGCCGGGCTGCGGGCCGCCAGCGCATGGCATCGTCGCGGGTGATGGCCGCGTCGTCGCAGCCGCCGCCGTCCGGCTCCTCCGATCTCGCGCGCTTCCGGAGCGCCAGCGGCATCGGATCCATGAACATGGACGACATCCTCCGCAACATATACGGCGAGGCGCCCCCGTCCGGCGCCGGCGCCCCGGCGGACCCCGCCCCCGCGCCGGAGGCCGCCGCCCGCCGGACGGCTGAGGAGGTCTGGAAGGAGATCTCGGCCACCGGGGGCCTCTCCGCCCCCGCCCCCGCCACCGCCCCCGCCGGCGCCGGAGGCGGCGAGGCGGGCGGCGCGGCCGTGATGACCCTGGAGGATTTCCTCGCCAGGGAGGACGACGGTAGGGTTACGGCGGTGGAGGGGAACATGGCGGTAGGGTTCCCCGATGTGGGGGCGGATGTGGGGGCGGGTGTGGCCGGAGGGCGACGACGAGGTGGCGGTGCCGGCGGCGCCGGAAGGGCGAGGAAGAGGGCGCTGATGGATCCCATGGACCGCGCCGCGACGCAGCGGCAGAAGCGCATGATCAAGAACCGCGAATCTGCGGCCAGGTCCAGGGAGAGGAAGCAGGTTACGCGAAATGTCTCAGCAGGGACAAATTTGATGCATTTTTGCACGGTTTGACCTTTGTCCCAGCTGTACAGTCGAGTGGAATTTGACGCTTTCATTTGGTTTCGGATGTAGGCTTACATCGCAGAACTGGAGGCACAGGTCACACAGCTTGAGGAGGAACATGCCGAACTGCTTAGAGAACAGGTATGTTTTTGGTTCTGCTTTAGTTTGGAATGAAAGTTACGAATTGTGCGGATTGAGCATGCTTACTTTCCAAGGTTCGATGGCTTAACAGTCAGTTAGATAGTGACCCCATTATATGTTTAGATTGGGCATGAGGGCACACTATGATTATGGAACTAGGCCAACTAGGGCGATGCCAAATTGATCATTCTAAGTTGTTATATTTTAATATTTATACTCACATACCAAATGTGCCAGCTCTTTCACATAACTACAGTAAGCTATTTTATATCTTTATGAGTTTCTGGGAAATACTTATGTAGTTATGTTACTAAGCGATAGATACCTTAAAAATGTGGTTAGTCTTTTGTCACCATTGCATCATAGACCATCTGGATTCTTTTCTTGTTGTCGCATTAAGAATTACTATTAAGTGATAACATATTTCCATCGGGGAACTGAGTTTGGCAGAGAAGTGTATTTCTTGGTAGTGTCATTTGCTGGGTTAGCACTTCTGTAATGCCTTTTTTTTGTAGTGCCAATAGTTATTGCAACCCATATCTTTTGTTCGTTGATTCATTATGGTTTCGGCTTTTTATTCCTGTCAATGTCATACTGCCATCACCAGGATTACCCACCGATTTAGTGTGCCAAAGTATCTTCCTGTCAAAAATAGACTGGGGACTAATTGCCTCTTGCATGCACCTGGCTGTCTGTATGTGCCTTCATCTTTAACTTTTGGTTATATGACCTTCTGCTGAATTGTCTCTATTTTATTATTCTTGTTGCAGGAGGAGCAAAACGAGAAGAGGCTTAACGAGGTATATTCTTTGCAAAACGTTATTGCTTACAAGCATGTTTAGATTTAGCAAGTTGCTTTAACATATATATGGATCACCATGTCAAGTATATTTTTCGTGGATTTCATTACTCACTATCTTTCTTCCTCCATATGCTAAATAGATACTCCCTCCGTTTCAAAATAGATGACTCAACTTTGTACTAAAGTTAGTACGAAGTTGAGTCATCTATTTTGAAACGGAGGGAGTATGTATTAGCGTTTTCTTTTTATTTAAAGATGGTCCAGCCAGCAATTTTGGTAACTATTTCACCCTGGAAAGCTAGTCAAGTTGAAGCATCATAGTACTCTATGTTGTCACCTTATCTGTGGTACACGGATGTTTTTTCTGCATAATTGATGACTATGGGCAGATAACAGTAACAACATTGGCATTACATCCTCTATTCTTATATCTCAGTGCACCCATGGCCTTGCAATAACGGATTTGTATATGAATTAGTCAAATTGTATTCCCATGTCTCCACTATCGAGAACTATCCTTTTTGTTGCTATAAAGCTTAAGTACTCTTTGATTCATTATATCCTTAGGAATCTTTCCTGTGTGGGTTGTTTCATTCGCAAGATTGCAAACCATAGGATTAGTTCGCACTAGATGTCATAGAAAAACTTCCATCAGCTCCAATCTCTCGGAAAGAATTCCTATGTGTTTTCCTATGGCATGACACTCTCATCTTGCATTTTCCTTACCCCTAGTTTTGGAAATCCTGCGAATAAAAAGGGCCCTTATTTGTTGCCCGGTATTCAAACATGCATTGGCGGCTGTTTTTCAACTTCATTTCTTAGAAGTATTTTGTGTTTATGCAGCTCAAGGAACAAGCATTCCAAGTCGTCGTAAGGAAAAAACCATCGCAAGATCTTAGAAGGACCAACTCGATGGAATGGTAGAAGTATCAGCAAGCTCTGTTGTTATTCTCTTACAGTTACAGGGTTTCTTCTTTTGCTTTCTGTTTACCCTAGTCGTCGTTGCTGGCGGCGATGTAGAAGCAGCAAGACTTGTTAGGCGGAAGGACTCTAGTTCAAAAAGAGAAGAAAAGATGTAGTAGACGAGGTTCTGTGCGTGATCGGAAAGGTCATGCCATTCAGAATCGGTGTGTGATCAGCTATTTAATTTTGCTGTCATTGTATGTAAAAACCAGAATAAGCAATGTTTGCATAAAATGTAGACTAGAGTTGTCTCAGTTACAAAGACATTTGAAGAGATGTTTGTTTGTGTTCAGTTTTCAGCTTCGTACAGTTTCAGTTTGACACATTGGCGTGTTGGTTCATAGCCACACATGCCAAACTTTGCCACAAGTGTGAAATACTTCTGACAAATCGTGCCAACGCTTGTGATGATTAATTTGTTCACCGCACTTGTGATGGCATGCCCCAACTTAGTGAGGAAAGTGTGGTGAAAGCCTGGTTATAAATCAAACATGACCTAAATGGTCAGTGTACATATTTTGAGACCATTGAATGTGGATAGAATCTACTCCCTCCGTCCCATAATATAAGATCATTTTTCAGTTTGAAAAACGATCTTATGTTTGGAGTAATTGTCAAACCGTAGATACTCAAAATTCCATGTAAGTGATTCAGAAAGCGCCATATTATTTCTGTGACATGACACTGACTTTAAGCTGTAAGCAACTTTATATTCCACAAAACAAAGGGGAACAATGTTTGGATCATGAGCTTGTCAAACATATTGACATAAAACGCACCAGTTATACATTCCATTTGAAACGGTTACAAAACGCGGGTGGCTTTGTGAGAAGGGTTGATGTCGGTTCCCTCACAAATAAATGAGATGTTACAATAGAAACGTTCCATCAAATCAGTAATGGCGCATACCAATCACTGAAACATCAGAGATGTACACAATAGTCACATATGTGCCCACCAGCATATTGCATCTTGCCAGAAAAGGCATCAATTCCATTTCAGAAAAAGATATTGATAGAGTTATAAAAATCTAGTTGTCCCAAAGGTTCTAGACAGGCATGAAAGAGAATAGAAACGATACGCACTTAGATACAAATGATAGCGCACCATGGACAGCACAAAGCTTTAATCTGACATCCATCGTCTCTCAAACCCACCACCACCGGCAGCGCCAACAAGTATGCAAGTACTGTAGAAGACTTGTTGCAGCAGCAGCAGCAGCAACAACAGCAGTGAAGGGGCTACAGTACACGTACAAGGAGCATCTAACGTCACCATTCGAGAGCAGCGACCGAAGACATTATGATTTCCTGAATATGTTGTACAACCTGCGGAAAGAGGAAATGAAATGAAGTGTATAAATATGTCGAAAAATGAACCACGCAAGGGCTGTTATGTCTGTCAGGGATTGATCTTATGCCTTCAGATCTGGAGTAATACATTTTGGCCTTCATAAATGGTTCTTGGCCTTCATAAATGGTTCAAGAGATGATCATCACGGGTTATCTATCAAAAATCAACACACAAAAAAACAGTCATGAAATCTGCTAGCACACAACAGAGAGTCCAAGGGATGTATTAGGTAGGGCAGAGGCAGCGATAACAGTACACGTGAGCAAGGCAAATGGGAGCAGAGAAGCAGAGCAGGCATGCAGCATATCCTCCACGTAGGATTTTAGAGTATGACCATGCAAAAGAGTTCGATTCAGATGAAATTCCGAGAATTCTGAATCACAACATGGCCCTCAGATTTCAGTTTCATCATAGGCTAATGCAGTGGGCTTCAAAGCTGGCACTGGGGCATGTCTGGGTGAACCGAAGAGGAGGCAAGGCGATGGCGGCGACGGGGACGCCTGTAGCAAGAGCAGGCCCATCACTCAGTGGTAGGGCTTCCGCAGAAGCAACGGCTGATAAGACTTGGACGCTGTATTTCCGTTATGTTAAGTAATGGAAAGGGGTTATGCCCGGTTCAAAAAAAAAGAAGCAACGGCTGATCCACAGACACATGCCTCAGCGCCCAGAGCAGAGAAGCCAGCGCTGCATCACCATTTCAGGTCTTCAACCTTGCGAATGCAACGGCTGATCCCGTTTCGAGCTCAAACCTAAGCCAATCTATCTATCTAGGGCTTTCAACCTAATCATCACTGGGCCAAGGGAAAATCCATGCAGCAAGCGAAAATATAGTAATGGACCAAAGAAACTAGGAAATTAAATCCGAACCGGGCTTGATCAAAACAAATAATCAAACCACCAGAAAACCAAATAATTGAAAAGGAAAATAGCCGTAGGAGACTTCTTGTGCCACCAGCAGCAGCAGGAGGAACGAAGGGGCCACAGAAGGACCATCACATCAACATTCATTCAAAAGCAGCAAACAGAAAGATCATGATCCCATACTGTAGAGCCTGAGGAAAGAGGAAATGAAATGAAGAGTACAAATGTACCGAAAAATGAACCGCGCAAGGGTTGTGGCATCTGTCAGGTAGTAGTTATCTTATGCCTTCAGATCTAGTAATACATTTGGCCTTGCAAAATGGTTCAAGAGATGGTCATCACGGTTATCAAAAATCAACAACAGTTGTCAAGAAATCTGCTAGCTCACAAAAGAGAGTCAAAGGGATGTATCAGATAGGGCAGAGGCGGCGATAACAGAGATGGGGAAGGGATGTTAGTGACCTCGTGTCGTCAATCAATCATCAAGGCAAACAGAAGCAGAGCAGGCATGCACCGTCTCCTCTACCTAGGGAGGTTCCGGTGCACCATTGCGCATTAAACGATAATACAACACGATAAAGACAAGGTGCGTATACTGATGGTTTGATAGCACGCCCACAGGAAGATCGCCCTCAGATATCAAAAGAGTGTCCCAAATGGATCGGCAGAAAACCTGAATAGTACTCCCTCCGTCCCGTAATAAAAGAGCGTTTTTGACACTACACTAGTGTCAAAAACGCTCTTATATTACGGGACGGAGGGAGTACAACCATTGCAATGACAACCACAACAGAAGCAACAACAAGCAGAAAGAAAGAAAGAGTGGAAGCAGAGAGATGGCCCTTCCACATGAACAGCAGGCCCATCTCAGTTTTCACCTGATTCCCACTTTCCAAGAGCATGCTTCAGCGCCCAGAACAGAAAAAGCCAACGCTGCATTAGCCATTCCAAGAGCAAGGCGCAGCCGCATTTAAGCACAACCATGTCAGTCTTCTATTAATCATCATGGGGCCAATGGTAAATCCGAGCAACAATTGTAAATATACTGACAATACAGTGCAAAAACAAACAGACCAGCAAAGCCCATCTGTACCTAGATCAGATAAAAGAAATGGAAACAACACCAATATTGGTGTGTGGGCTTGGCGGTAGGACAGGAAGGAGAAATTTGAAGCAGAACTCATAAACATACCAATTTGAATCACTAATAAACACTGCAGAGAGAAACCAGCAACACTTAAGCCACTTCAAAATCTTCACCCTAGTAAAGGGACTACCACTTGGAGACCGGAACTCAATTCCAAGCTGATTTACAACAGTGATCTCTCCTGATAAATCATCAAACTACGAAGATTTTCTTTCGCTGAGGCGAAAAGCAAAACCATGAACTGAAAAGGTACTAGAAATGTATGAAGAAATCAACAGAGCACACTTGATCATATCAGACAAAACCACAGCAAATGCACAAAATAATGTAAAATCTAAACATAGGAGACAACAATGCCAATTACGGGTCCCCATCAAGCCAACGGAGACGGATCTGGAAGATGAAGCTGAAAATAAATAAAACAATCAAAACTTAGCTGGCAATTTGTATAAGGTATGAGAAAGAAACATAATGCCCTCAGGTGCCATAGATGTAGGATGTAATGTTCACTGATGGCACAAGAAATGATCTTCCTTTTGTCCATAAGGCCATGTGAAAGGTTGATCTGCTGTGAACTGCTGTTGCTGCTGTTGTTGTTGTTGCTGCTGCTGCTGCATGCGTGATTACGCATCCAGAGAGAGAAAGAGAGAGCGAGCGAGAGAGAGAGAGACGGGTGCGGGGTGGGGGGAGGAGAGGATCATGTAAGTGCCATCTCTACATTTTCAGTTTTCATCATTGGGCAATGCATTATAGAAGCCAATATTTCAATGGAAAAATGGCCTTGTATAAATGGAAAAATGAAAACTGGAGTTACACCTTGTAAAAATGGATGGACGGAGTATAAAATATGCTCGGTCGCAAAATCTGTACCAAAAGTATGCCATATTTACTATGAAAGAGCCAATCTGCATCTGAGAATGGCAAATGAGCAGTTTTTTATGACACGTGACACAAAATAACGTAAAAGAAACAAAATCAAGAATAAAAATGTACAAAAATGATCATTGGATGAACTGGTAACATCTGTCAAGAGTGTGATACTATGCCTTCATATCTAACAAATCAGGTATGGGTGTGGGTGTTTCAGTGATATCGATTAATTATCTTACCCATACACTAGCCAAGATATTGGCGAAGACAGCGCATACATGCCCGGATGGACTGCTCCACCTATTGCGAGGTGGCATTCCACCATTGCGCATACATGTGAAAGCTGGCTGTTTGACAATGAGCCTGTGCAAAAAGTTCAATTCAGATGAAAATACCGAGAATTCTGTATTACAACATGGCCCTCAGATTTCAGTTTCATCATAGGCTAATGCAGCGGGCTCCAAAGCTGGCACTGGGGCATGTCTGGGTGGGCAGATAGAGGACACAAGACGATCATGGCGACGACGATGGTGTCGGCGACGAGGACGGCGGTGTCACCAGAGTGACACATTAGCCGGAAGGAAGGGAAGGAAGGAGAGATAGACCAGGAGTATGGGCCGGCCCATCAGTCAGTGGCAAAGCTTCAGCTGAAGCAACAGCTGACCCAAGACACATGCCTCAGCGCCTAGAACAGACAAGACAGTGCTGCATAAGACATTTCAGGGGCCTC